TGGCGGAGGGAATATACGTGCTGTAGCCGATCGCAGGGCCTACCCGTCTGAAAAATGACTGGGGAACTTTTCTCCGTTATCGAGGTGTCCGTGACTCCCCGGGTCGCTCTTTCAGCGGCGTAATTACGGATTAGATCGATGGAAGATTGCCTCCAACGTCGGGCAGCGAGAAGGGCAACCACGAAATCGCGCGTATGGGATCGATACGCAGGCGTATTTATATACGTCCGTACGCGCGGTGCAAACGCAGGAGACGCGTGCGGCTGAATCGTCAAATGCGATCTCCCTCCCCCCCTCTCTGTCTGTCTGTCTGTCTGTCTCTCGCTCTCTTTCTGACGCATCTCGCGGTTTCTCGGAAGCGACGCGGGGTCGGCACGTGTCCTGGTATTTGGGACACGTGCCGGTCGCACTCGAAAATCGATAGTTCTTTGTGCGCGGCACAATGTGTCTCGTACGTAACATTTTGGCGCGCGCAAGAATTCGCGCGATGCCGCAAACCGCGAGCGACGGGCTGTTGCCCCGCGATCGGCATTTTCGGAGAAGATCAACCCCGCGAGACGCGGCACGCGGAAGCGTCTCGCCCGCGTTAGACAGACGTGGGAATTTTCGCGAAACTTCCGTGTCAGATCAAGACCGGATGGTAGAGCGTCGTCTCGTGAAAACGGAGCAATTATCACTTGATTACATAATTGCTATAAATAAATTAACAGCCGGAAACTCGATCCTTTCACCGGCCGGGTTCATTGTTACCGCAGCATCCCCCAGATTCTCACGTTCCGATTTAGAGAAGTCAGGGAAGAGGCGTATCGTGTAAAAAAAGAGAAAAAGTTACCGCGGACACGCGGTACAAAGCGCGCGCGGCAATGCGCAATGTATTCGCCATTATACATTCGCCGTTGCGCCCGGTAACAAAGACTAATCGTCAGATTGATTATTCAGCTGAGCGGCGCGTAAAAAACCAGTTAGTTAGAAAATTCGGGATTACGGTGCAGATTGTACGCGTGTGCGGACGTGTGCGACACGGCCGATAGAGGAGAGGCTGACGGCATAATGTTGGTAGGGTGGGACGCGTAGGGCAGGGTATGGCGCGGCGCGGCGCGATGTATGGCATAGGGTGCGCGCGCGCGTGTGTGTGTGTAGGATAGAGATGATCTGATTACGGGCACATCATGGGAAAGTCAGCTTGCGAGCCGAGGGGGCAGAAACGCGCGATTCACCCCGGTACCCCATTGTACCGACGAGTGTCACCGACGCGTATAATTCGGCGAGATCGACGCGCGTCCACGTGCTCCGCATTAAAGCTACACCGCGCGGCGCGGAAAACGTGAAACACAGACGTTAGGGTGAGAACGCGGCGCGGCGAGCGCTTACGCCGGTGTAAAGGCGGTTAAATGCGGACTTGAAATCCCATCTACATATGTATTCCGGACGGCGGTCACGCTTCCTTCGCCGGGGCGAGCAAATCGGGTCCGGCTGTAACCCTTTGGTCGCGGGAAAAGGGAGAAGAGGGGTTGATCAACACCGTCGAACGGCGTGTTTTTTTTTCCCCTAGATCGTTGTCGAGCGAGGAAGCCGTGTTCCTCGGACAAAAGCCGCACTATCGACGAGAAATATAGATACTCTGTGCAGTCGATATACAGCTTTTGTTGCCGAAAAGTGGCAGTTCTTCGCTTGAAACGCGCCAGAAAAATACTGTTATTCGAAACTACCTCCGCGATCAGGATTACTTCACGATTCCCCACTTGTATCTAGCAAGGATCGAGAGGTCCTTCGGGGGGGAAAAACAAGCGAGACTGACTCGAGCGACTAATTTGCAAAGTGCATGAAGAAATGGACCGATCAATTTTCTCGTGCATACGCTTATGCGTTCGTGCAAAAGTCTGTCCTGCCGCTCTAAGTTTTTCACCGTTAATTTACGATTATTTCACGCCGATCGATATATGAATCAATTTGGAAATGGTCCCGAGCAACATTTCTCGCGTTGAAGTGTTTAAGAATTGCAAACGCGTCACATATTTTCTAGGCTTCTTTTCGACAACTGTTTGCCTTCATCTCAATACGATCTTTGCGTCGAAAACGAGGGCTAAACCGCTGAGGGCATTGTGGTGTACAAATTTGCGGCATTACTGGGAATTACTAGGCATTACTAGGCATTTTTGGGCATTATTTTGACATTAGGCCTTGCTGAGGCATTGTAAAGATAAAATAAGATAATAAGATAAAGTAATGTCCACTGGGCAATAATGAGCATTGGTGTACGAGATTTTGGTCAGCGGTTTCCCCCTTGTGAATCAATTTGGAAATAGTCTCAAGCAACATTGCTCGCGTTTAAGTGTTTAAGAATTGCAAACGTATCACACATTTTCTAGGCTTCTTTTCGACAACTGTTTACCTCCATCTCAATACAACCCTTTACGTCGAAAACGAGCGTTGTGGTGTACAGATTTGCGGCATTACTGGGAAATTACTGGGCATTACTAGGCATTTTTGGGCATTACTTTGGGCATTAAGCCTGGTTGAGGCATTATAAAGATAAAATAATAAAATTAAGTAACGCCCACTGGGCATTAGTGGACATTGGTGTACAAGATTTTGGTCAGCGGTTCCACCCTCGGTCGAAAAGTACACTGAGAAAAATGTCACCGGATGATCCCATCTAATCTAACTACATAGTGCAACAAACAAATGTACGCGATGAAGAACACGATCGGATATATCCTAATTTTTCGATCCAATTTCGGATACAGGTATTCATCATTTAATCGGAAAACAAATTCACCCTCGGAAACGCTATATTATCCAGTGGAAAATGTTCCCAATGTATTATATAAATAATTTTTTCAAGTTTTACCGAACCCACCCCTCTTCGCTGAAACGTACCTCAGTTTCCCCGAATAAAGACACTATGGCGAGCGTAATAATGTAACTCTCTGTCCCGCATACGATTTCGATCGCCGGCGCATTTACGCCACGTCAATCCGCAGCCCTGACACGCATCGGCACGGCCTCTCCTGTCACTCGGCGGTCGAAGGAACGAGGGAATCCGATTCGGCGGGCGGCCGAATCCGGGCGCACGAATGGGGAAGCGGTCGAAACTGCCGCGCGCGCGACACACTAAGGAACCATGAAGAAAAGGCGGTCCACAATGGGCCGTTTATCACGAGACGTGATACCGAGGCACCGGCCCGCTCTCGGGCGCGCGCCTTTCTGCCCCCGCGGTCCATCAATAAAACCCGAGTGATTTAGCGAGTCCCTGGACGGATGGACGGACGAGCGTTACCGTACGGGCGGGCGAGCGGGCGCGCGGAAAGTAGAGACCGTAGCGCCCGCGAATTTCCAAGATAAAGGGGTCAACAATGGCCCGGGCAACCGATGGTTGGTATTCGACCGGTGTCGAAACGACGGCTTCCAATCACTCGCCGATAACAATGCCCGGTGCCGCTGGTTTATAAATCCGCGCATTGTTGCTAACTTAAAAGCTCTCTCGACGACCGGGCCGAGCGGGAGAACGAGAGACAGACAGAGCGAGTGAGTGAGAGAGAATGAGGGGGGAGGGAGGGAAAGAAAACAGGATGGAGAACGAGTCGACGAAGAGAGAGGAGCTTAATAGATAGAGAAGAAAAATAGAGGTGGAGTGAGAGAGAGAGATTTTATTTAACCTGCGGGGCCAGAGCGAGGGGGAGAGAAAGAGAGAGAGAAGAGTGTGAGAGAATCCGCTCGAAATCTTGGGCGCTGAAAGCGGAGGCGCTAAGGCGGAAGGACCACGACGCGAAGGGCGAGGGAGAGAGGGGGATGGCGGGGGGGGGGGGCGAGGAAGAAGCGTTGCGAGAAGCGGGAGCGAGAAAGTGGCGGCGGGAGCTTGAGAGCCGTGTAAAAGCATTGAGAGCACTTTAATGAATACGATTAGGGGCGTTAACTGTGAAGGATTGCCAACCCGAAGAAAGCGCCGCTCGCGCGAGAAAGCCTCTCTTTCTCCCTCTCTCTCTCTCTCTCTTTCTCTTTGCTTCTGTCTCTGCCGACGTCGGCCGTCGCGATTTTATTTTTGTGTAACGATAACGGGTGTCGAGCTTCGATATCTCTTGATCGGACCAAATTCACAAGTCCCAGTCTACAATAGATGATTTAAGCGCTGAGCCTTAAGAAATTGACCAATCACGGCCAAGTATGAGTAGAGTACGCGACTGTGATTAGTCAATTTCTTAAGGGTTAGAGTTTAAATCTCTATTGTAGATGGGCACTAAGTGTCCTCGTAAAACAACCTGCTGTTCTCGCGAGCGAAATAAATCACGGCCTGCACGCCGCCCGATGCGAGGCGCTTGTGGGCAATTCTAAAACGCTATCACTTCTTTCATCGTACTTGATGATAACACGGAGAGGTGAGAGAAAATATCTATCGATTTCAATCCGAAGTTCTATTAGACACACGCTTAGGGCTTCGATATTACGTGAGAGTCACAGAAGCAGATCAACTCCGCGAAATTAAGAGTACAGAGAACCGATGGAGTTGTAAATGCACTCTGGTAGTAGAATTTAAAACAAGTGGAGTTTATCAATTTAATTTCCGAGAAGCTCAAATGTGAGAGTAAATAACTTTCGTGATCGCGACGATAATTACAGCGATGTTTTTCGCTTTTTTTTCGACAGAACGAGAATAGACAGCGATCGAATAAATATGACTGGCGTAGGGAATAATCGCGCTTGCTGTTCATTATTGTCGCATATTTCAATTATCTTATGCCGTCGAAATGGGGAGAAAGTGATCTTGTTATTTATTCACCGACGTACGAAGCGTAAAGACGAGCGTGGCACTTAATAATTGATAAATAGTAGCGAATAAAAGGACAAGTTCTAAATGCGCTATGGTACTATTATAGAATTTAAAACAAGTGGAGTTGATTAATTGAATTTCTGAGAAGCTCAAATGTGAGAGTAAATAACTTGTATGATCGGGACAGACATCGGTATAAGAATTGTATATTATGCAAAGCGAATTCACTCACCAGTGTTGTACCCTAGCTAAGTACGCCCTCGGCTATACCTGGAAAAAATCACACATTACAATTATTATTTCATCGTGCATTTTACGTTATATTAATATAATTAATTATTGTGTCACGTTATATTAATCACCGCATATTATTTCCATTTTGGCTAAAACGCAACTATATGTAGAATAAATTATATGAATAAATATTTAAATGTTCCGTTATTTAATTAAACGTTTCGATTATTTAATTATTTCTCGCGCTTTGCTTATTCGCGCCTGGCAATATTTTTTCTCGCCCGCGTGTTAAATTTGCGTCGCGAAGCTCTACGAAGATATTAAGGAAAAATTTCAGATTAAAGATCGATACTTTTCGACGCCCCGAATGAGAAGTGGGCAAAGAATAAAATATCCGGGTCGGCTTTAGAAATTTAATTACGCGCCATTAATTTCACATTGGCCCTGCGCTGTCGCCATCGAGTAATGTTATAAATAAAAATTTCTAATCAAATATACATCGTTGTGAAGAATTTATATAAATAATAGCTACTTTTAATATATAACGATACAAGAATAATCCTTTACGATAATTATTTTTAAACTCTTTAAATCAATACTTAATAAGGAACTGTACAGTTGCGGGCGCGTGAAAAGTTGAAACGTGTCTGTTTTTATTAAATTGTATTTAGAAACAATCGTTGAAATAATTAACCTGATTCAAATCCACAGTAATTAACTTTACATTACTCGCGCGGGGTAAAAAATACCCCAGCTTTGGATATCGACTAAATTCGGCAAAATGTTTTCATATGCGGGACAAATTGTGTCACAATTAAAAGGGAACCTTAGCACTCGTCTTTATTTAGGAGAAACACATTTCGCCAACTTCAACTCAGTCGTAAATTCAAAATCATCAACGAGTACAACGAAAATCGAAATAATGAAGCGTAAGATACACCCCGCTGATAATTACGTTAAAAATAACGATACAAGAATTAACATTTACGATAACTGTTTTTAGACTCTTTAAATCAATACTTAATCAGGAATTGTACAGTTGCAGGCGCGTGAAAAGTTGAAACGTGTCTGTTTTTATTAAATTGTATTTAGAAACAATCGTTGAAATAATTAACCTGATTCAATTCCACAGTAATTAACTTTACATTACTCGCGCGGGGTAAAAAATACCTCAGCTTTGGATATCGACTAAATTCGGCAAAATGTTTTCATCGATCGAGTGCGGGACAAATTGTGTCACAATTAAAAGAGAATCTTCGCACTCGTCTTTATTTAGGAGAGACACATTTCGCCAACTTCAACTTAGTCGTAAATTCAAAATCATCAACGAGTAGGCTGATGGCAGAGAACAATCCGTAAACACTTAAGACTGTCTCAGTCGTAGACGTAGGGCAGGGCAGAGAGAAACGTAAGTCGTGAAAGGTTATTGTATACGACTTACGTTTCTCTCTGCCTTGCCCTACGTCTACGACTGAGAAAGTCTTAAGCGTTTACGGATTCTTCTCTGACATCAGCCGTACAACGAAAATCGAAATAATGCAGCGTAAAATACACTCCGCGCGGATAATTACGTCAACTTTTTGACCGCGCGAGTAATGTAGGGTTAAATAAAGAGGAGAAGAGCGAAGGGGGGGGGGGGGAGGAGGGTAAAAATACCGCGGCAAATATTTAATCGCGGCGCTGTTTCCCCTCCGTCGGCAATATGAAGCTGAACGTGCACGCGCGCGAAGAGATTAAGCAACAAATAAATAATTAATTTTACTCACCAGCTAGGGTATTGTAGTCTGCAGGGCGCAGATTCCTCCTCAGAAACGCAGCTGCGGCCAGGAAACGGGCACTCACTATCCCACACAGTCACTGTCGCGCGATCGAACGAAAATTTCGAAAGTCATTCGCGTACACGCACTCGCCCGAAGACTCGCGCCGGAAGTCGCCGCACTTCGTACATCGTTTCGATTTACTTACATAAAACGGAACGTTTCTAGACGCAAAGAGCACATTGTAGACGAGGGGTTCGATCGGGAATCCTTACCTCCAGCGCGAACTCGCGAAAAGTGAAAAACTTCATTGGCGAATTCAATAGAGCTGGTCGATAAAATTTTGCGCTCTTCACGAGTTCACGCCGGAGTAAAAGATTCACGATCGAGCCGCGGGCCGACGTCGCACGGCAAATCCTCCCGCTTTGCCGCTTCGCGAGGAGCGCGGAGAGAATAGAGACCCTGTAATCAGAGACGATTCTACGATCGTATCTCTCTCTCTCTCTTTCACTCGCGGGAATTTAAACGAACTCTTACGGCCGATCTCTGATCGCAGGGTCTCTAGGAGAGGAGCGACCGAACCGAACCTCGCGACAGTCGCGGCGACTCTGCATGCAAAATTTTCCACTTCGAAAAACAGGTAGAAGTGCGTCACGGGGCACGCGAAGGTGAGCGACCCGTGGGGGGTGGGGGACCGAGCCACGGCCGCGTTGTTTACGATCTCGGCGCGAAGACGTAGGCGAGATTCCGGGAACTGCGCGGCCGGCCGTGTTTGCGTTCTTATGCTTTCCACGGTTTTTTCGCTTGCCGTTTGAATGTCCTACGTCACAACCCCTACTCCGTGGCGAATTTTACATCGATCCCGATTCAGTTTCTCCTCGGCGGAGACACGCGCGAGATCTCCCGCGAGCGCGTTGAGTTTCGTGTCGGTCTGGTGGCGTCCTTCGATCCGCTTACGAATAGATCATCCGACTAGCCTTCCGCGTCGTAAGAGGCGACTAGTGGTGCCGTGAAATGAAGGAGCTAAGAAGCAGCGCAAGACAAAACTCAGGGAAGATATTTCACGACTATTGGTTAGCCCTGGCCCTTGGACTCGACTAGAGGACCGACGCCATATTGCGCGAGAAGACGGGAATGACGAGCCCGCGCTTTTGCTCCACTGCGCGACAATGGCAGCTAAGTACATATGTATGTGTATAATTTGGAACGATCTACTTTAGCGCGCTACGTTCCGCGGAAAGCTCGCCGAACGTGCCTCGAGCCTCGAAGGAACCCGCGCGGATTGTGTCTCCGGTTTTCGCGCACTCACCAGTCAGTCGTTCCGAGGCAGAAGCGAAGTCGAATGCCGCGAATGCTGATCGCGGCGTCGCTCGCGAGGATCCGTGACAACCGATACGCTCCGGCGATTGCTCCCGTCGCTTCGTTCGGCACTCCCGACGCGAATTCGCGCCTCCCCCGCACTTTGGACCGGCGAAATCCGAGATTAACCGCGCGAGCGTTCGCGCGATGCGTGTCTCGAGCCGCTGCGCCGCGCAACTGCCATGGCGGCCGAGCGCGCGCATGCGCGCGCGCTCTGCCGCGGGACGTTTGAGGTACAGTTTGAAAGTTAAATTCTTATCGAGACGCTTCGTACACCTTTCGCGCCCGGCGACGTCTAGTTTGGTGTCTCTTCGGAGTGGACGTGTAATAAGCGACACGCAAACGAAACGCGGAGAAATGTCCTTGAAATTTCGAATCGGCGCGAAGCTGTGCGAGCGGGACAGCCAATTGCATTCGCTGAACCCCTTGTTGCGACGCTTGTGACACGCGACCAATGTAGATTTGGTCTTTACGTTTTGAATGTACACGGAGAGAATTTTCTCTTAAAATTTATCCTGCAAATCATGTAATCGTGGGACAGTGTGGCATTGCCAAGAATTTTATGAGAGTTTCCTGAAATTTTATCATACATTTTACTAACAATTATACTTAGTACACATGTTACTAGTAAAATGTATGATAAAATTTCAAAAGCCTCTCATAAAGTTCTTCAAAATGCCACGTTGTCGTACGATCGTATGATTTTTAGGATAAATTTTAAGAGAAAATTTTCTTCTCTCTCGTGTATGACAATAAATATTCTCTCTCTCTCTCTTTCTCTCTCTCCCTCTCTCTCTCTCTCTCTCTCTCTCTCGACGTTTCTTTTCTTTTTCGAAAAACATGTTCTTTAAGGTAGTTCTTTCCCAACTATATTAGTCAAAATGAGATTAATAAAGTTCAATAGGCAATGAATTCTTTTATTTTTGCTGCATTTTACTGCAAGTTTAATAGAAATCTCTAACTTCATTATGTTTGACCTAACTACCTTAAATCTGCATAAAAATTGAATTGTAAAAAGTAAATGTCCTCTGTCCACGATGCTAGAACTCGGTCCAAGTTCTAGTTTTGAAAAATGCAGCCAATCAACTTGCAGCGTTTATGGAATAGCTACAAGTTGATTGGCTACACATTTCTCGGAACTAGAACTTGGACCGAGCTCTCGCATCGTGGACGCTGGCCTTAACTTCGAGTTTCAAGTCAAATGTGATTTCCATAGATTTTACGTTAAAGACGCAGGAGCATAAATCCGCGAGTCAAATTCCTCATCCTCGATACAAATAAACGGTTGTCGACAGGCTCAAGTTTAATTAATATACACATATTCAAAGATCGGAGGCAAATTCAATAATCAACGTTTAACATTTGATGGAATAAAACGAAATTTTAAGACTGGTTATTATAACGACACTTTTCTTACATCATGACGTGTGACTCTTTTACTTCGATACACAACTTGTAATTACATCGGAGCACGTTTTATCCTCTTAAATTTTACTTACTCACTGAAGATGATCAGGAAACAGATCGAGATCACGATCGAAAAGTTTGATTATCATTTAAATAAAATTAGTTAAGACACTAAATATTCTGCCGCGGCTGCTAACTTCTTTATTCCATCAAATTTGTTATTCGTCAAGCATTTATAATAAAATTTCACTTTCCAGGACTCTAGGAGTGATATTCGCAAGAAATAACATTTCACGCATCGCATTCGTGAAGTAATCGAATAAATAATTAGTTTCGAATTTTCACGCCCACGTGCACATTTCCAATAATTGCGACGATCTCTACAGAAATGTAAATAAATTACCTCAATATTTTTATGGCGATCCATTCACCGGCCATTACTCGCGCCAGCGTTTAAGGGTTTAAAGCGACTCCAGGGCGCCCCGCGTGCGGCTAAATATTCCTGGAATATGCTTTCCGCGAGACGAGTTGCAGAGTCACACGACATACTTCCGCGTTTCTCTTTTTTCCGCGCGTTAACGAGTAAATTATAGACCCTCCGAGCGCGCTTTCGCTCTCGAAGCTGGGAGGAAAAGGGAAAAAAAGAGAGCCCGCCGCCGTGCCCTCCCGTTGACAGATGCACTTATCTTTCGAGTGAGGACGCCGCCATGCTATCGGCATGCAAACGACAAACCATTTCCTATGCACACCCTCGTTAGTTTTCTTGTCAGCCGGGCCGACGCGAATAATCTGCCTCGTTAACGGAACGGATAGAAGCTGCCTACGCGATGTGTAACACGCCGGCGAGTGCGTGCGCGCAGTTATCTGCAGCTACTAATTGTCGAGATATTTAATTAAAGAACAGACGACGTCTCGCTATCACGGTATATTCGTGCGTCAAGGGAAAAATTACTCGAGTGCTCGTCGCGCGGCCGAAAGTCACGCGCCGCGAGTCAAGCGCGAGTTTCCCTTACTTAAGTGCGAACCTTACTGATCAGCTCCGTGGAGTAAAAGGGTTACGAAGAAAATTTACGAAATTATTAACTAAAGTAAAA